ATGCTATCATTTACCAATTTTTAATGAGTAATTCAGCAGTCACATTAATATAGGAACAAGTTAATTTAGAGCAAACATAGGTAACTTGGCACCTCAAGACTGCTTCATCATTCAATAACATCATGGTTGATCTGCTTGCTCCATATTTCAACACCTTGCTTATAAAGAATCTATGCTGCCTTAAAAAAGATTGAAAAACTCTGCTTCTACTGTCTTTTGAAGAAGTGATCCAAAGAATCATGACCCTTTGTTGTTTTTTATTATTTGAGAACTTGGATTTGAATGTGGAGGAGAAATAGGTTTTAGTTATCAGGTCTTTGAAGGCAACTTGTTTCTTTTCACAAAGGTCAGCAAATCATTTTGAACAGACAGTTCAGACATCATTGCCAAGAAAGCATATGAGTCAAGCCAAATGAGCAAATACACTACTTTGGGAGTTAATTGATAGTAAATATTTACTAAGTTAACCTTTACGATTTACAGAAAGTCATCAGGGCCACAATCAGTTTTCAGTCAAGATAAACAGTTTCATACCAGAAGAAGGATAGTTTAATTTGTGACAGTTCAGGCTTTCAGAGCTGGGAAGGAGTCTTAAACTGCTCACTTGCTCAAACAAGTTTATGTAGACCGGCCTCCTCTTAAAGTTCAGTTCGGAAAGGTCAGTGAAGTAGCTGGTATCTGCGTATCCCAACAAGATACAATAAAGGACAGAACCACATTATTATATTTATAATACATTATATTAAAAAGTCACTGAATGGAAAAGCTTGCAACCTTGTAAGAAAGCTTAAGTAGGAAACCAATGAATTAAGATAGGAGTGATAGTTCATTGGAATTAAGTGAAGGATATTGCTGGGGAAAGGATTTAATCCCTTTTCTTATTTAAGATCTTTCTAAATTGTCAGTTTTTATTTTGTGCAATCAACTTCTGTAAACTTTGGAATTAACTTTGACAACCTCATGAATGTATTCAGTGACAGGCCACAGTAACCAAACAGCAAAAATAAAACTTATGATCTATCATACCAGTTTTCACTCTGGTATCTGACTTTCAAATATTACCATCAATGTGGATCATAACTGTCTGTCAGGAAAAAAGTCTCATCTGTATTAAATAGCGACTCCTTATTTTTAAACAGTGGCCCCAGTTATCGATTCTCCCACAAGAGGAAACATCATTCCCACAGGTGCCCCATGAAGACCTCTCAGAAGCTTGTACATTTCAATCAGATTAACCTTACTCTTCTAAACTCCAGCAGATTTAAGCCAACTTGTCTTTTCCTCATTCCCATTCCAGGTATTAGTCTGGTAAACCTACTTTGAATTGCCCACGATTTACACTTAGATCCTTCTTTAAATAAAGAAATCAATAATGTAGCAATTTCCTCACTTTTGTATTCAATTACCTTCACTACAAGTTAAGTTTTGCTTGACTTTCCTTATTACTAGTTATACCTGTACATGAACCTGCTGAGATTCACACACTAGGACATGCAGATCCATCTGCATCTCTAAAAATTTAAATAGCTTGCTTCTGTTTTATTCTCCCTGCCAGCATGGACATACCATTTCATCCTCTGCCAGGTCTCGGACCATTTGTTTTTAGCCTATCTATAGCCTTTTGTAGCTTCACTATATCCTCTTCACAAAATAATTTCCAACCTATCTTTGTCATTGGCAAATTTACCATATTTTCCAACTTCACACAAGTCATTTAGGTAAATAGAGAGAAGTCACAACCCCACCAGCCCTGATCCCTGTGCCACATCACTTATCATATCTTGCAAATCTGAAAAATATGTTTATCTATGCCTGCTCTGTTTCCTATTAGCTATTTTTAAATCCTTGCAATATTTTAATACCAATGCTGAGCTTTTCTTTCTACAATAACCTTTTACAAGGCATCTCATCAAATGCCTTTTAGAAATCAAAGTGCAGTATTCCACTTTATCCATGGCACGTTATTTCCTTAAAAGCTCCAAAATAATGGCTAAACATGAAAAGAACACTTCCAAAAGTATTGGCTAAAAATCATAATCTGTAAATTCTTATGAGAATGTAGATCAATAGAAATTCATGCTCAACAAAATCAGAGAAAGCTCACCCTGCCTCAAATTTTAAAGTATATTAACAGAATAAATTGTGCATGTAAAATTAGGAAAAGGACCAGACCAAGAGCACAAATTCAATTCAAACAAAGAAAAGCCTCTCTGCTCCTATGATGCTGCTTGGCCTGCTGTGTTCATCCAGCCCTGCACCTTGTTGTCAAAGAAAAATAATCCTTGGGATTCTTTTTTGGCGAGTTTGGCATCAGTTCTCCAGTAGTCATTGTCGCAGGAAATGGGGAGCCTACTCAAACCATCAGTCTTAGCCAATGTTCTCTAATTCTTTTCCATCTGATTTAAGTCATTTTTTGCAACTACCAATATCAAGGTTCTGTGCAGATGTTTGCCTCTAATAGAAACACCTATACAACATACATTTGTCATTATTTTTGAAGTATTACCCTTGGTATAAAAGAGGAAGGAAAATTAAAACAAATGGCAACACAAGTGATATTCTTCCCTTGATAGGATGCTGCTATCAAGCCAAAACTAGATGTCAACATTACATATGTGTGGAGGACTATAAATTCAGTGAGGATGCTGAATATGAAAGGAATGTATTCCATCAATGAGTGGATCACCTCAAACAGCATATCTGTTCAACTGTTCATAACAGACTGAGTATTGTCAGTGCACTATCAACCTGTTTTAGCAAACATCAGAGGATGGTGATCAACATTAAGTGTTATCCAATTGTAGAATCACATCGATTGATCAATCCTGAACCAGCAAACAAATTGAGATTACCAGTCAGACTTGCAATGTGGTTCACTTCACTTAAGCTTGATCAAAGCTACATATATTCTTAGACAGCATACCCACTGCAAACTGAATATGCCCACGCATTGCACCTTTTCAAATTGAACAAAAGCATAGGAGACAACTTTTCCCTTGTGCATGGTTCTTGGCAAATCCTCAAGCAAAGTCCACTTGCTGTCAATTACACCCTTTTCTCCTGCAGGATAAATCATTGTTGCCTTAAAAATTTGATATTCTTACATCTGCTCTGTCAGAACAAGATGAAAACCACTGACACCACATCTCTGTCAGCAATTCTCAAGTTCTATACGAGCAAACAATTATTCTTAATTTACGAACAGTCAATACCATGGCTACTAACTTGCTATTTTCCACCTCCAGCTTACTGCCTCTCCAGAAGCACTGTCACCTGAACCCTTCTATTTGACACCACTCCTGAGCACAGCTGATACTGTAAATCTTCACTTCTCTACTGAGTTAACAATTCAAATTGTAACAAATAAATTGCACTTCATGAACAAATACTTGAACCCACAGATCTCTTTCCCTCAAACTGCTCACAGGTTCGAAGTCACACAACACTAGGTTATAGTCCAACAGATTTATTTGAAATCACAAGCTTTCAGAGCACTGCACGAAGACTTCACCTGACAAAGGAGCAGCGCTTTGAAAGCTTGTGATTTCAAATAAACCTGTTGGACTATAGTCTAATGTCATGTGACTTCTGACCTTGTCCACCCCAGCCCAACACCTGCACCCTCACATCATGCTCACAGGTTAGCACTGAATTAGACAAACTTTTCAATTCATCAAACAACAATATCTTTTCTCCACAATTGCCTGCTTTCGGTACTTGCTCTCACCTCCTGCGTTGTTACTGGGGAGATGACAGTCAATTAACTGTTGCCATCAGGCTTGGCTGGCCACATTGAACTGGATCAGGAACTGATGGAATCTTGGTCATTTGTAGCTATAAAACCTCATGATGCATCAATTAGCAGAGCAGCAGAATACATGTCATGTGCATGGCAACAGTAATCAAGTACATAGCACATCTTAGATGGAACTTAGATTGTGTCTTGACAGAACTAAATAGTTTGCTAAGCCAGTTCAGAGGGCAGATAAAACTCAGCCGCTTTAATTTTGGGCTGGAATTACTTGAAGGCAGGGAAGGTAAGCAGGACAGGGTTTCATCTCAAAAAGAAGTAGTGAAACAATCAGATTTTTATAGCTTTTCAAAAGACAAGATGCCACCTTGTGTAGTAATGTGGCCATTGAAAAACATTATGTCAAGCCTGTGGGACCAACAATACTTCAAAGTGTAATTTAATGATCTCACCAGGCTTGTAAAGGTAAAATAATTTTCAGATGAGCAGATAACCAAAATGGAGAAGCACACAATAAGAACAACCGTTGTTTATTTTCCTTTAGGAAGGTGTCACATGGTACCATGTTTCCCTATTCCAGTCACAATGATATTGGATATTGTGAGAAGTATCTACATCTTGTGAACAGCTATTACTCAGTCGATAGCATTCTTACTTCAGACTGATGGTGTTTTAAGATACTTCAAGCAATACTAAGAATGCTGCACTGTCAGTGTTGTCTTCTTCTGGAAGAGACATTAGTGAGCAAACAAGGACAACACAGCGTTGAGCTGGAGGAAATGAAGCTTGGTTTAAAGTGATTTTCTAAAGATATTAGTTGTCCCTAGTGTCTTGGTCAATATCCCTCAATCATTATCACTAAAGCAAAGTATCTGAATCATGTTTGTGGAACCTTGTCACAAATTGCTGACATATTTTCTATGTTACAATACAGACTACATTTCCAAAGTATTTCATACACTTGAAACACTTTCAGTGGTTCTGAGGTTGTGACATGTCATAAAAATATAAGATCTTTGTTTCCCAGAATATTTATTAGCACACAATTTGTGTTTTCCAATCCAATCTGATCTCTTACATCTTCCATTACAATCATGAATATATTTAACTCTAATTGCACCTCAAACAGATTTAGATTGCATATGGAATGATGGATGTCTTTTTCTCCCAACATCTTGCCCAACACTCCCCACACCCCCCATTTCAGGGCATATAAATTAAAAAAAAATAGAAAAACCTGCATATTTACATGGTAGTTTGCATACTTTCTCCCGAGTGGATGGGTTTACTTTCTCCCCAGCTTCTCTCCTTTCCCAGGCAGTTTTTACCACATTGGAGACAGAAAGGACCACAGATGCTAGGAGCCAGAGTCAAAAGGTGAGGCTGGAAAAGCACAGCAGGTCAGACAGCATCCGAGGAGCAGGGAAGTCAATATTTCAGGCTGAAACCTTTTGCCAAGACTGGCAAGGGGAAGGGGAGCCCAGAAATAAATAGTGGGAGGGGGTGGAGCTGGGGGGTGGGGGAGGGCAGGAGAGATGGTGATAGGTGGATGCAGGTAGGGGGTTATTGTGATTGGTCCGTAGGAAGAGTGGAGCAAGTAGGTGATTAGGAAGATGGGCTGGACATGGGATAAGGCTGAGGGTAGAAGGATTTTGAAGTTGAAGCTGGTGAAGTCAATGTTTAGACCACTGGGTTGTAACATTGACTTCACCAGCTTCAGAATCCCTTCATGTCCATCCCTCCCCCTCCTGACCTGACCTAACCTGTCCATTTTCCTACTCACCTGTATGCTTCACCTTTCCTATGGATCAATCACTAGAACTCCCTACATGTATCCACCTATCACCATCTCTCCTACCCTTCCCACAACCACCGCCCCCCAACACTGTTTATATCTGGGTTCCCCTCCCCTCTCCCCCTCCCCAGTCCTGACAAAGGGGTTCGGCCCAAAATGTTGACTTCCCTGTTGCTTGGATGCTGTCTCCCTGCTGTGCTTGTCCAACGTCACACCTATTGACTCGGCATTTACCACATTGTCCAGCATTCATCAGGTATAGTGCAGGGTCTGAGGGAAAGCAAGGATGGAAGAAAGCATTGATGGTTGTTGGGAACAACTGATGGGATATACATAAGATGAGCAAGAAAAAGCCAGCTTTGGCCTTGTACTTTACTCCTGGGTGCTCAAAAATGTAACGCTGTCTCTCCTAACACTTTCATTGCTAGTATATGCAATAATGACAAAACTGATGTGCCAAAACAATTAAAATACAACATTTTTTGGCATGTTCTGCTGAAATAAATTGAAATCAAAACTAAGTTACAAAGAAAGGAGTTGACCCAAATATTTCTCAATCTGTGCACAAATTTTAAATATACTTTTAAATTGATACAGGATATTGTCAAGCTCTGAGGAAGAAATATCAAGATTCATTCAGAATCAGAACTACAAGTACTGTTAAAACACAGACTCCTTTATTCTCCTCCAAGAGTCTCATTGCTAATATATGTGTATTTGGTAGCCACAAGAGGACAAAATGCATTATGAAAATTTTATCACAAACAGATATTCTTGATTCAAGCAATCTTAAATGTTTAATAGATGTACAATTTCTCAAAGTGTAGTACTCAATTGAAATATTAATCCAGGATATGAAGTGACTGAGCAAGTGTGTTGTAATGGAGTCTTCAACCAGAATATAGTATTTCTATCAAACAGAACTCTTGGCTTCTCTTGGATTCTATATATGCTTTGCATGGAACGTCTTTTGCTGAATGTTAGTGTTTCTTCGCAAATACTTAATATCCTGTATTATTTTTAAATAAATACAAAGTTCATTTGTGATTTTTACTGATTGAGAAGTATTTTTGGGAAGTGCGTTTTTTTTCTGTCCTTTGTTTACTTGCATTTAATTTACTTCAAAGATGAATGGATTTTCACTGTGCACCGACATATTCTCTGGCTGCATCTTTATTTCTAATGCAGTTTTTCAGTGCGATATATGATAACCTGGCCTCCATGGTTCCCTTTCATTAAAATCCTAGCATAGTTACAACTCAAATGGAGGCTTCTCAAGTTTCAATGCAACAGCAACTCAATTGATCCCAATCAAGAAAGGAAAAAAATCAGCCACTTTTATCCATAGCCCTGCAAATTCTTTCTCTTCAGGTATTTGTCTTTAGATGGTTTTGATTGTATCTTCTCCAACCACAAAATCAGTTGTGTATTCCAAATTCCAATCAGTTGCAGCAAAAAAAATGTTTTTATTTTCTTATCTCAAGCTAATTCTCTTTCCAATCATCATGGATTGGTGTTCTCTAGATCTCACCATCAATAGGAACTGTTTCTCTTCAACTATTCTATGTATGTATCTATCCTATTAAATCTCTCTTTTTTTCTCTGTGGAGGACAGTACTCTCTGTAACTGCAATCCTCATCCCTGAAACCATTCTCATCAATCTTTCCTGCCACCTTTCCAAAATTGCCATATCCATCCCAAAATACAGTGCCCAGAATTGAACACAATACTCCAGTTCAGACTGAACCAATTTTTTCTAAAAGTTAATCATGGCATCCTTTGTTTTCCTACTGTAAAAGGCCATCCTGAATTAGTTTGTCAAGTCAAAAATTGAATTAAGACTGAAAAAAAAAATGTTAGAGGAGGAATAAAAGGAGCAGAAAAGGGGAAAAGGACCATGCACAATTCATTTTTTTTTGAGCCTATGCTGAGGTAACGGATTTCAATCGCAATACTATAAAGCTACTGCTCCCTTAACTTGGCAGGAAAGAGGATTGCCCACACTACCTGCAGACAGTTGTCTCTGCGTAAAGTCATGTGGATTTTGATTAAGGCTGGGATTAGGCTTGCCTTGCTTGCAACCTGCAGTTATAATGGTCTGCTTTACACTCCAGACTGGCAAATGAAGAATAGTCCGTTGACTTGGGTAGCGAGAGAGTGACTCGTGTAAATGGAGAAAAGACTAATATAATGTTGTTTATTTTAGGGAAGCCTGAATTCAAAATTGAGGGCTGATTATAATTGTCTTGTTGAGGGGTGATCAAAAACGGGCTATTTGAAATGATAATAGTTTTCAATGGAATGGAGTCACTGGACCATAATCTTGTGTTTTTCATTAGGCCATTCAGGAATTAAACAAAAAAGCACTCTTTAACATAATCGCTTGTGAAAATCTAGAAATTCCTTTTCCAAAAAGCTGTGGATACTAAGTAAATTGAATTTTAAGGCTGAAATAGATTGGATTTTTATTATGGGTTCTCAAAGATATAGAACTAAAGTGGGTAAATAGCCATTATGTAATTGAATAAAGAAAGATCTATTTACAACATAGAAATGGACAATTTGGCCCAATTGGTCCACGTAGAAAATGGAAACAGTGGCCCACATCTTCCAATCAGTATTGGAATCCTTTTTTTTCTGAAAATTTAAACTGTTAACTTTTCTCCAATTGTCTGGCCAATCTTCCAATGCGGGTTCCATGAGAACTCAATCATTGCACAAATCCTCAAAGGGAACAGCAAAGACATTCTACATAAAACATTTAAATTGGCATTAGCTGCTGTATTAGTAAACCTTAAATGTTTCAGAACTTCTCCTAGTGTGTTATTGTGATTATATGAGTGAATTTGTGAATGTTTAAATGAGGTGCAGAAGTGCTTAAGGCAGAGCAGTAGACGCTGTCTGTATGGACTTCACTAAGGTATTTGACAAGTTTCCGCATGGTAGACTGGTTAGCAAGATTGGATCACCATGGGATTCAGGGAGAGCTCACCAACTGGATACAAAATTGGCTTGAAGGTAGGAGACAGACAGTGGTGATGGAGGATTGTTTTTCAGACTGAAAGCCTATGACCAGTGTTGTATCATAAGGATCAGTGCTGAGTTCACTGCTTTTCATCATTAATTTAAAAGATTTGGATGTGAACATAGGAATAATGGTTAGTAAGTTTGCAAATGACAACAAAATTGGTGGGTTTTTTTTTATTCATTGACAGGATGAAGGCATTACTGGCTGGCAGCATTTATTGCCCATCCCTAATTGCCCAGAGGACAGTTCAGAGTCAACCACATTGCTGTGGATCTGGAGTCACATGTAGGCCAGACCAGGTAAGGATGGCAGTTTCCTTCCCAAAGGACATTAGTGAACCAGATGGGTTTTTCCTGACAATTGACGACAGATTCACGGCCATCATTAGATTCTTTTTAATTCCAGATTTTTTTATTGAATTCAAATTCCTCCATCTGCCGTAGTGGGATTCAAACCTGGGTCCCCAGAGCATTATCTGGGTCTCTGGATTAACAGTCCAGCGACAATACCACTAGGCCATCGCCTCCCCAATAATGGTGTAGTGAACAGTGAAGAAGGTTATCACAGAGTACAATGGGATATTGATCAGATGGGCCAAAGGGCCAAGGAGTGGCAAATGGAGTTTAATTTTGATAAATGTGAGGTGTTGCATTTTGCTAAGGCAAATCAAGGCAGGACTTACACAGTTAATGGTAGGGCCCTGGGGAGTGTTGCCAACAAAGTGACCTAGGAGCACTGGTGCATAGATCCTTGAAAGTGGAGTCACAGGTAGACAGGGTGGGGAAGAAGGCATTTGGCACACTTGCCTTCATTGATTAATGCATTGAATAAAGGAGTTGGGATGTCATGCCATGTTGTACAGGACATTGGTTAGGTCACTTTTGGAATATTGCGTACAATTCTGGTCTCCCTGCTGTAGGCAGGATGTTGTGAAACTTGAAAAGGTGCAGAAAAGTTTTACAAGGATGCTGCTAGCATTAGAGGCTTTGAGCTATAGGGAGAGGCTGAATAGGCTGGGCATTTTTCCCCTGAGCGTTGGAGACTGAAGGGTGACCTTACAGAGGTTTGTAAAATCATGAGGGGCATGAATAGAGTGAATAGACAAGGTCTTTTCCCTGGGGTGGAGGAGTCCAAAACTAGAGGGCATAGGTTTAAGGTGAGAGAGGAAAGATCTAAAAGGGACATAAGGGGTAACTTTTTCACACAGAGGGTGGTGCATGTATGGAACGAGCTGCCAGAGGACGTGGTGGAGGCTGGTACAATTATAACATTTAAAAGGCATCTGGATGGGTATATGAATAGGAAGGGTTGAGAGCAATATCGGCCAAATGCTGACAACTGGGACTAGACCAGTTTAGTATATCTGGTCAGCATGGACGATTTGGACAGAAGGGTCTGTCTCTGTGCTGTATAACTCCAGACTCTGCCTTTACGTGGCTTAATTGTGTTAGGTAGTGCAGTCAGGTGAAGTACTTGGAAAAGGAGTCTGGATGGGGAGGGGCCTGGGTGGGATGCTAGAGGATTAGTTTAACCGAGAGTTAGACTAGGATATTTCTGTCTAACATTTCCTCAGTAACTATCCAGGCTAGCAAGTGAAAACCATCCAAAGTCTTCGACT